GGGGGGGGGGGCCGCACTTCTGATTTGTACCCTTAGCTACAAATTGACAGCTGATGTCACAAAATGTACTGCCCACATTTCAGCATTGAACTAATATGGCAGGTAGCTATCCTGGGATCATAGCTGAGCTAGAACACAACAGTATTAAAAACACAGAGTCCTAACATCTGTGTGTCTGTGAATGAAGAGAGGAGGGGAAAGCAACGATGGTTATTTCGGGGGGTTTACTTCCTCTATTTACCCATTATTTTTAAAAAAAACAACCCTCAATGCTACTGAGTCAATGCTGACTCACAGCTGCCCTCTGTGGGTTTCTGAGACTTTAACTGTTGTCAGGAGTGGAGAGCCTGAAATTGCTTCTGGTAGTTTCGAATTGCAAACCTCGTGGATAGCAGCCCAACAAATACCCACTACACCACCAGGATGCCTCAATCATAAACTCTAATAAATGTACAAAAACAAGCTCACATTAGTAAGACAGTCTCCCTTCCTAAAAAGCCTCCTCTCCCCCCCCCCCCCCCCCAATAAAACTTTTTACACATCTCCTACAAATGAAACTGCTACTGGGAGTGGGTGGGGTGATTTTTTAAATTTAATCTTCTAGAACAACCATTCTTGGAATGCTATTTCATGGACAGTCCTTTAGAGAAAAGCACAGAATCTTTATTCCAGAAACCTGGCTCTGCCACTTAGTAGTTGCACTGGCAAACAGTTAATTCACAGTCCCCACTTCCACCCAATAGTTTCTCTTTTGGATTAGGTAAATTGAATACAGGTAAGCTGCAGGAACAATAAATGGCCAACAGCAAACCCTCACTATCAGCCAGCTATTGGCACTCTAATTATCACCGCTACTGCCCACAATAAGAATGTAAGAGATAGGGCCCAGGTTCCCTTTAAATCTCATCAAGAATGAAAAGCTGGTCAAAGAGCTTGCTGGATCTCAGATGAGATTTGTAAGAAGCAAATGAAATTCAAATACAGATAATAGCAACCCTCTCTTACTGTGTAATTATGTATACTCATTATTTGTGCACCATGTTATTATTTAAATATCCCTAATCTCAGGCCCTGCAGGCTAAGGACCCTTAAAGGGTAGCCCAGGTCTCAGTCTCTGCCAGTCCAATTGCAAGCTTTTGCCAAGTGACTACAATCAGAAAAGGTGGCTTCATCTACAGCAGGAAGGAGCTAGATGGTTCCCAATCAGTAAATCTTAGTACCACCTCTTCTGAGCCTTGCTATAACCAATAAACTGTAATCATGGCTTCAAGTCTTACACATTAGCTGTCTGGATGGGACACATAGATGCTTTCCACGCACTCTAGAAAGACCAAAGCAAGATGGATAGCAAACATGGATTCTATGGTATAAGCCACCTTACCGAAGCGTGGTCATTACTACTATACTAAACCTGCGAGAGAAAGGGCTGGTGCAGCAGAACCCCTGGCTTTCAACTGGGCTGTTAAGACAGCCAACACCATGACCTCTCGGCTTTGTACTAATGGAAAATCAAGGTCCTAATAGCTCATCACCTCTGCATGCCAAATACTTAGCAGAAACTATGTCAGTTTGTTCAGATTAGATAAAAATTATATCAAGCCCATTCTGCTCCTGATGAAAAACATTAGAGGTGATCATTTTGGACTTTCCTTGGAAGCTCTCCAAAAATGTTTAAAAATTGACAAAAGCCTCACAAAGCAGTATTACTGAGCTTACACATGGTTGGGGGGAGGGGGGGGCGGTGTCATCAAGGGGTATCTAGGCAGAAGTCTCGGGTATTAGCCACCCAAGGTACAAACACTCCAATATGTGAAGGGAGAAAGTAGATGCCACCATCCAAAAAAGAAGTTGCTTCATATTCACGTCAGAGTAGAATGGTAAACTCCACTGCTTATTATCTCCCAAAGAGGGCTCCCGATAGATTGACTGAAAATCCTACCACCAGACTAAATTCTGGGACAATTAAAACTGGACCCAATGGAGGATTTATTGCAACTTTAGAAGGAGAATCTAGAAACACATATGTCATGAATGCTAAAGAGCTCTCCACTCCACCTCTGTCTTTGACCCATAATGTATGCAGTCTTAGACAAAGTCATCGGTGCAGGATCTGAGTGCATACATACAAACGTACACACAGATATGGACACACATTCACCGAGAACACTTCCTCCAAGCCCTGGACTCTCAAAGCTATGAGGCCATCAAAATATTGAGCTGCCCCCAGCTCTCAGCTGTCAGTGAATCCCACCCTTGACCAGGGCACTTCTGGGATTCCTGGGGTCTGAAGTTAGTCCTGTGAAAGCCATTTTCGTTTCCAGCCCTTCCAAGAGTCCCTAAACAAGGAAAAATACTTTGTGTAGCACGTTGGCTCACTTAAGAAAGTCAGTCTTAAATATATTAAGCTCTGAAAGAGGAAGATGTGTTTACTTAGAACTGCTGTGGAAATTCAGTATGGGAATGACAAAAAGGTGGTCTTGGAATGCTGCCTGAACAAACACTAACCAGCAAAGGGCAGACTTGCAACAATTTCACAATCAAAAGAGAAGAGCTCTGATTAAAGAGAAAGGAAAAATGTTTTATTTAGGTGAAACACCACCACTACAAATACCATATATACTCAACTATAAGCTGACTCGGACATCAGCCGAGGAACCTAATTTTACCACAAAAGTTGCATTGAAAATATGCTGGAAAACTCGGCTTATACACAAGTGTAACGGTAATAACTTTCTTTTATGAAGGAGGCGAAGGAATTATTTGCACGTCTTCTGCAATCCCCAAAGAAATGTCTGGGCCAATTTAAAATGTTCCCTTTCGTTATCATTAGGCTTAACTATGCCAATAAAAACTACAGCTACATTTGGCTAATTGGCTTCTTGAATGACTAACTTTAGTTTTTGGTCTTTTACCCAAATTCCTCATACATACCCAGCTAACGTCTCATCTTGGAAGATGATTTTTTCCTTAAGTGAAAGAAACATGAGCTGTTTGTCTCTTTAACAGCGAATCCAAGGAACACAAAGGTATTGCAACTGACACCATTTGAGACCATTCCTCATTATAACAAAATTCTAAAATTAAAGCAGCTGTTCTACTCCAACAAAACGGTTCGATGACACTGTACCCTCGGTACACACACAATTAAAAAAACTTGAATCAAGCAAAAACCTGCTGTTCCATGTGAAAGAGTGGCAACAAGCAAGCAATAACTAATCAAATGCTCTCTAGAGACGGGCCTTCAGAGTTAACAGCATGACTGGCAGTCATTGGATATACGTGGGGTCTCCACCCACTAGACACCCAAGGTAAGGAAGAGGGTGTGTTTTTTTCTCCCTCCCAAATTTTATACTTCTACAAGTACATTCCGTCCATTAATCTCAATGGAAGAGCAGCAGTTGCTGTGAGAGGTTGCCGGATGGCTGGAACCCAGGCAGGCTGGGAAGAAGCTGGAATCCGTAATTGAATCTGCCATCCTGCACACGCCAAATACAGTGGGCAGAAGAAGGCCTCCTCCTCAAGAGAAAGGGGCCCCAAAGTGAAAACCGATTCTACTCTTCTTCATCTCTTGCTTTCAAGCAAAACATATTTAGTTTGTTCACATTTCTCACAAATCTTAAGAAATTTGCAGATGCAACTGAGACCGTGGAGTGCCACGACAGACAGCTAGGCTAACACTCCTGATGAGAAAGACAACGCGTCATGACCCAAAACTGTTTCTAACATGTTCCCTACAGAGTGATTTAATCTGAATCACGTTCACCTACTACACAGGAACATCAGAATTAAGTCCGATGGAACAAGCCTTCGAGCATGTTTCAGATATTCACTTCAGAACAAGCTTACATCAATTCTATTCCACTATTTACCAGAGGGCTTCAAAAGAGTTCACGGAACCTATCTATTTTTCCATGAACTTTGAACGCCTCTCGTACTTATCTGGCCTGTTCACCAAGGAGAGAAAGCACTATTAAGAAGGTTGTTTGAGCCAGATGAACAGGAAGGGCAGTAGAAATAGATTTTTCATTGTTTCCTATACAAATGAGATTAAAGTGAAAGGTTCCCCATTTAAGCAGGATAATCAAGGGGTTCAGCTCTCCATGGGTAGAAGATCAGAGGGGGGAGACAAAGCTTCTCAGACAAACCAAGACTAGGTATGTAGACTATAGCCTTGTCTTCTCACTAGGGAACAGTTGGAATGCCACCTTGTGAATGACATTGCCTCTGTATAACGGATCATAAAGATTAATCTGCAAACCCAATAACAGGATTTGAGAATGAAGTCACACTGTCTACAGGCAGACCTCACTCAAATTAATATAAGATGCCCAGGCACATACAATTCAGATACATGGCTGAGATCAGAGTGATGTGCCAATTCCATCAAATAGTCAACTCACCATTCACTGCTTTGAGGGTCCCAGCAAGGCCTTCCCCGTGCTGCCTCTTCTGGGCATTCTTGAACTCCTTCAGAGACAAATAAAGGACTTTCCGTACCACTCTTTCTTCTGACCACGGAATCCCATCACTGTCATCCTGAAATAAGAGAAAATCGAAAGAGGCATTAATGAAAAGCAAGCAAATAAAAAGTATGACTTTTTTTAAAAAAGCAGATAGACACTGTCACTACATACAAACACTGTGTGGCTGAGAACCAAATGTGTTGGGGGTCCAACTTATATTCTCTGCTTAAAGGAAACATACATCCTTCAAGCAAAAAGTGAATCTACAAGTCACTAAAGGGACTGAAAGACCCACGCAACCATCTCATTTTCTTTTACATCCAACATCCAAAAACACTCATTAACAAGTAATACTGGAGTTTAATGTTCCTGGCAATGTTTGCAAAAGAGGGTTATTAAAGCCAACCACCAGAAGTGTAAGGAACCTTTTTACTGGAGTGTTTTTACATGAATGGCTGCCAGCATGTGCACCGCGTCACAACAATGCCTTTGTGAACATTGTAGTGTTGCCACTGGAGGTTGTGAGAATGCAATAAAACATGGACCCTGCCTTCTCAGGGATTTACAACTCAAAAGTGAGCGCTGATTTGCACTGGACTCTTAGTTAAAGGATAAGAAAATGAACAAAAGAGAAGCGGATGCAAAAAAGGACAGCAGGTAATAGTGGAGTAAGACGAGGTGGTGAAGAAACATACACACATTTTAAAGGCCTGATTCAAAAGCTTAGCCTCCTTGTGCGCCAGGTCCAATCAAGTTCCTACAGAAGAACTAACAAATGAAGAGTAGATAGCTAAGAGACTACAGTACATGGTAGTAGAAAGGGGCAATGGAAGAAATTACCAGCGCAGCAAACACCACGTTCATATTAAAGAAGCACTAAAGAGAAAAATATCTATCCAGATAAGTAACAGAATAAGAACAAAGACAAAGCCTGGGGAGGTGAAGATGGTTGACAGCTATGAATGAACTGTAATTGGGAAGAGATACTTGGGTTTAGGGAACCAGCAACAAACAGGGAAAAAAAAAACATATACAGCAGAATTCACTTTGGGACTGGAAGTACTTTAGCTTCTCAGTTATTTGGGCCCTTAAAAAAAAGAACAAGACAAAGATGAATTACCCAGGGGTTAAGAACAGAATCTTAGATTAGATACCCATGTGCTTTCTGTGCAACAAACGTATATAAATTTGTGAGCTGGCACTGCAGGGTTGAGACTGGGTGGGAGGCAGGGTGCCACTATACCACTCCGTGACTGCACTAAGACAGGAAGCACAGTGCCTCCATGGAACTTACTGAGAATATGAGAACTTCACAGAGCTCTTTTCCAGCTCTTCAATTCCTAAACCTGCATAAATACAAGCTACATTTCAGAAAGCCATCCATAGTGAGACTAAGCCCTAAATAACGTTAAGCTGGACTCGTGTTAAGCTTCAAGGATTTCCTCCTGGGAGAGTAAACCTCCATCTTCTACACTAAGGGGAAGAATGGCCTGAGGAAGGAAGGCGGAGAGCCAGGATCTTCACCTCCCTCTAGACAGCCTTCCCTGCTGTGGGCCAGGCCAAGTGGGCTGTTTCCATGACACCCACGCTATAGGACCCGCCCACCAGTCTTCTGGCCTGAAGAAATCGAAACATCTATACTAGACCTGATCAGAGGTCAGAGAGGCAAAGGCCACGGAGACAAAGTAAGTGCAAATGGTCTCAAAACTGGCAATAGGAGAAGATAATAATAATTTCAAAACCACAATGGGGAGGACGATCATCCAAGCATACAAATGCTATGCTCCAACTACACCTCAATTATCTGTCAAAACGGACAAACTAAAGACTTCATTTTCAGGAGCCGAAATAACCAAACTGAGCAGAAAGCTGGTAACTTAACTGCCATGCCACATGAAAAGTGTGAGAGAGGCTTCAAAAAGTTTAGTGGGGAAATTCCATTATATTTTACTTCCGTTTTTTTTATATCCCCCTCATACATCACAGCTGAATGACTCTTGATAGCAACCCAGCTGAGCAGACCCCACAGCTCCCTCCCTATGATGCTTTGCAACTGAAATGCAAAAGGAATCTAATCCATGCTCTTCCTGGCTGAAATCCACCTTTCCTGTACCCACCCCCACCCCCCACCTGGGTCTACTCACAAAGGCCTTTGGGCAGAATGCTCTTCACCCACAACAAACACGTCTAAGACCATGAGGCTGCTGTTTCCTGCACATGCAGTTAATAAATTATAAATCCCCCAAGATAGCATTCCATATAACACTCCAAGGAAGATTTACTGCATCCTGCTCAACTGCCGACTTCATCCTGGCTTCAGGTTCCACGAGAGAATTATACTCTCCAACTAATACCTAATTAAAACATAAACTACGTGCAATGAGAACCCCTGCAAAGGAAGACACATTTAAGGCTCAGTTCCCAACAGCTTCATCACCTATAAAATGCTTTACGTACAGGAGAAACAAATTCAAGGCACAGAGCCTGTCGGCGGAAATTCTAGATACTAAATCAAACCCACTTCTTTGAAAGTGTGACTTACAACCATTCTGTGATAACCAGAATGATGTTCCAGAGTTGTCACCTCCCCTTCAAGAGTGATGCAAGTCCCAAACCAGGTGGGGGTAATAAGGAGGCTCTGTTATGGTACCAAAAGATGGGCAGGTAGGTAAAGAATTCATTAAATTGACTTTCACAGCTGCAGACTCATGGTGAATCACTTTAGATTTCTCTTGCTGGAGTGGATTTCTATATGCAGACACCAAAGGTGGACCTATACCCAACTCTCGTTTTTTGGGTGATCCTAGAAGGTCAGAAAGAAGGTACTCAATATCATACAGCTTTACTGCCTATTCAAACCATCCACTGTACTGATTGCTATAGAAGATAATTCAGACTAATTCTATCATTAGAGGTCAAGAAAATACAGTCGTATCTCTACAGAGTTTATTTTGAATCCCAATGCTGGCTTCCCTTCTCTCTTTTCATAAAAGATCTTAATTAACCAGCCACTGAAATAGCCTTTCATGCATGTCTTAAATTACAGCCTTGGAAACCAAGTGGAGGCAGTTCTACACTATCCCTTGGGGTCACTATGAAACAGATTAGACTCAACAGCAAAGAGAGATTCCCTAGACATGAGGAGGTAAAGAACTAACTCTCATAAAACCACTTAAGCCCAGGCATTCAAAACATGCCTTATATTCTAGGCACTCAATGCATATTTCTGGAATCGATAAACGCTGCCAAACACCTTCTTCCCACTTACTTTTAACGCCATACTGTCCTGCCAGTGCCTGCCCTGAGACAATATTCATTAAATGAAGTGCCTGAAATCACTATGATTTTCTTGACCTAAACCACGAGACACCCATCATTTTATTCTTCTCTTTAATTCACTTATAACACTATTCAGAGTGAACGATCCAACAATGTGCACTTCCACCTCTCATTTTCAGCAGAAAGCTTTCTATCCCACATGAGAGCCACCCCTTCTACATTGCACTGCCACCACTCCCTTCCCTACACTACCAAGTTCACACCCATCTCAAAGTTCATATGGTCACATGGGCCCAAATCTAACAAACCTTAACCAGTCCAATCCCCATTCCTGGAGACCCTATAAGACATACAACTGCTCCACCGGTGTTCCTCAAAGGCAATATATGTAATATTTAAGGAAGCAGACTGCCACATCTGTCTTCTGCAGAGCAGCTGGTGTGCTCCAACAGCCAAGGTTTTGGTGAGCAGCCAAATGGTTAACCACTACAGCAACAGGCCTCCTGAATGACCCTTACTCTGTTAAATATTAACCAATTTTAAAACACCCCTACACCTGCTGCTACTCTCTCACCAAACCTATGCAGGCTCCTTTTCCTCGGCATGCTCCAGGATTCTCTTCCTAGATATTCACTATTCATTACCCCAAATCAGTGTTTACAGATCATCTGATAAATCAGCTCCTGCCTCAATGGTCAAAAGTTCCAACTAAGCTGACTTCCCCTGCCCTCGTTCTGGCAGTTTTCATGCCTTGAGATGGAATCACTCCACAATCCCCGATATAAAGCCCAGTGCCTAATTCCAGGGCAGATTATTGGATAGCTTATTACAGCAACTGCCGCTGAGAAAGAGCGCTGCACATTCATTCCAACGCTAATTGTGTTCGACAGAGTGGATGGCCTTAGTATTTTCATTTAAGATGTACAAAGCAATTTGGATTTCCCATAAGAGAACTAGGTTAGCAACCCAAAACAAATTTGAAGACCACAATCCTAACTTTTTTCCCATCACTTTCCCAAACTTAGAAGAAAACTTCAACGATGGTGTATATAGAAATGCTTGTGTCTGTTAGAGCCGTGGCTCTACACTTTGGGAAGGTGGATTTGTAATAGAATAGTAAGAGTAGTTACACAGCTTGGAGATGTAAACAAGCTCACTGCATGTGAACAACTTGCTGACAGGACATATCCTTTTGCTGTGTATATTTACACAAGTAAATATTATCTATGAAAAGATCACATGGTAGATTCACTTTACCAGGAACTGGAAGACATCAATTTATTTGGTAAATGGAAGGCATTTAAAAGTAAAAGTGATGATGAAATGGACCCCATGAACATTAATTTCCATACCATGGACCCAGAAGAATTAGATAGTCTGGCTACAATTGCTTTGAAAGGAATACTAAAGGGTGCTAGATAGAAGCCTATGTTAAAAAAAAAAAAATCACACAGTAAGGCCAGACGTACTGCTCCAATAGTTTGGAGGAATTCCCAAGACTGTAGTTCTTAACCACCCTTTGGGTCTAGAAGTGCACTTACTCCATGGCTCAATTTTCCGCCAAACAACAGACAGGTATTTAAAGGGAACACTAACACTAGTGCAGTGTGCACACCATATAAGATCAACCATTTGACAGGGGCAGCACTGACTTAAGGATAGAGTTCGGAAAGAAGGAATGGAAGGAAGCAGGAATCAGAGAGAAAGTGGGAGACGTAAAGTTGTACACAATGGAGCTGCAATCAATAACATGAAGCAAATGTGTCGGGTTGAGCAGAAAGCTAATCTGCTCAG